ATCGTCACCATCAATATCATCATCAGCATCGTTATCGTCATCAGCATTATTATAATCATCATCATCATCATCAACAGCATCATCAACATAATAATCGTCAGCATCATCGTCGGCATCAGCATCATCATCAGCATCATCAATATGATCATCAGCATCGTCAACATCACCATCACATGAGCAGCAGCATCAACATCACATCCAGCAGCATCATCATCAGCATGATCAACATCATCGTCAGCATCATCCTCTTCATCATCATCGGCAACATCATCATCACCGCAACCGTCATCATCGTCCTCATCAGCATCAGGATGATCACCATCATCGTCATTATCATCAGCAGCAGCATCACCACCACAATCATCATCATCATCATCATCATCATCATCATCATCATCAAAAGCAGCAGCATCATCATCGTCAGCATACGCATCCTCATCCCCATGCTCATCATCACCACCACCACCAACAACATCATCGTCATCAGCATCATCATCAGCAGCATCGTCATCAGCATCATCACAATCATGATCAGTATCAACGTCAGCATCGTCATCATCGTCATCATCGTCGCCATCAGCAACACTACCATCACCAACACCGTTACCATCATCATCACCATCACCATCATCACTGTCAACATCATCAGCAGCAGCATTGTCATCAATAACATCAGCAGCTGAAGCAGCATCAGCATAACCAACATCATCATCAGCATCATAGTCATCCGTACCGGCCTCATCACCACAACCACTAAAATCAACACCATCATCACCATCCACCTCATCGTCATCATCATCAGCATCAGCTAAATATCAATCAGCAGCAGCAACCTCATCACCATCATCATCAGCATCGTCATCATAATCAGCAGTAGTACCACCATCGACAGCATTAGCATCAACAGCATCCGCATCACCACCACCGCCACCATCATCAGCATCATCAGCAGCAGCATCGCCACTACCATCATCAGCATAAACCGTGTCACCATAATCATCAGCAACAGCATAATCGCTACTGCCATCGTCATCCACAGCATCCTCATCGTCCTGTCCACCATCATGACCACGACCACCATCGACATCGTCGCCAGCATCACCACTGTTCCATATCAGTACCGTCAGTATCGCCATCGTCATCACTAGAATAAGCATCAGCATCATCACCACCACCATCATCATCTGTATCAGCAGCATCATCAGCATCATCAGCATCATCACCAGCAGCATCATCATCAGCATCATCATCAGCAGCAGCATCGTCATCATAATCGTCATCATCATCACCAGCATCATTAACATCAGCAGCAACTGCATCAGTATCACCACCACCACCATCAGCAACAGCATCACCATCATCACCATCAACATCAGTATGAAACTTGTCATCATAATCATCAACAGCGCCAGAATCGTCATCATCGTCGTCATCCACATCATCCTCATCATCCTGTCCACCATCACCACCGCAACCACTATAAGCATTGTCGCAAGCATCATCACTATTCAAGTTCAGTGTCGTCAGCATCGACATCGTCATCACCATCATCATCATAAGCATCAGCATCATCAACAGGATCAGCATCATCACTATCACCAGCATCATCATCATCATCATCAGCATCATCATAATCATCATCAGTATCAGCATCATCATCATCATCATCACCATCATCATCATCATCATCATCATCGGCATCACAATCATCATCAGTATCAGTACCATCGTGAGCATCAGAATCATCTCTTCCACAGTCATCATCATAATCAACATCATCAGCAGCAGCAGGATCACCACCACCATCATTATCAGAATAAGTATCATCATCAGCATCATCACCATCATCGTGATCATCAGAATCGTCAGCATCACCAGTAGCATCAGCAACAAACAGCAGCATCAACATCACCACCAAAGCCATCATCATCATAAGCATCATCAGCATCATCATCACAAGCATCATCAGCAGCATCAGCATCAACAACCACATCATAACCATCAGCAGCAGCAATCGTCGTCATCACCATCACCATCACCATCACCACCGGAATCATCATCAGTGTCAGCATCATCATCAGCATCATCATCATCGTCATGGTCATCGCCATCGTCATCGTCGTCATCATCACCATCACCATCACACTCACCATCCTCATCTCCACCACCGTCATCATCATCATCATGTCTTGTCCTCCTCCTCGCCCCCCTCGTTCCACGTTCCCCGCACCTCATGCTGCTCCTCCTCTTGCTCCTTCTGTTCCTTCTCCTCCCCGCTCATCCGCATCATGTCTTGTCCTCCTTCTCCTCCTCCTCCTCCTCCTCCTCATCTTGTCCTCATCCTCCTACTCCTCCTCATCTTCCTCCTCCACCTCCTCCTCCTCGCTGATCGCTCCTCGCTTATCATCATCACCCTCCTTCTCCGCCTCGCTCCTCCCTCCTCCTCCTGCTGCTCCTCCTCCTGCTCCTCCCCCCCCTCCTCGCCCCTGGCTTCTCATCGTCCACCTCGTCTTTTTCTTATTATCATTATTGTCATTACTGCTATTACTGCTATTATTATTAGTAGCAGTTGTTGTAGCAATCGTAGTATTACGACTATTGTCATTAATACAACCAGTATCATTATTAGTATCACGAGTATTGAAAATATTAGTGTGATTATCATCATTCCTCCTCCTCCTCCTCCTCCGTCTCTTCCTCCTCCTCCTCCTCCTCATCCTCCTCCTCCTCTTCGCTTCTCGTTCCTCGCTCCTCGCTCCTCGCTCCTCGCTCCTCGCATCTCACTCCTCGCTCCTCGCTCCTCGTTCCTCGCTCATCCCTCCTCCTCCTCCTCCTCCTCCTCCTCCTCCTCCTTCTCCTCCTCCTCCTCCCTCTCCTCCTCCTCCTCTTTCCCACCCCTCGATGAAATCAACTCTGCAGAGCGAAGGGGGGAAGGGCCGAGATTTTCGTCGGGGACCCGGGTCAACCACCAAGGGCCGCGTCGCCAGCCCAGGCTGGCAACGGAGCAGCTCCCAGAACCAGGTCAGCGGAGCGGAAGGGGGCGACGACGGCGACGACGATCACGACGGCAGGGCTCACGACGGCGCCGATGCTGATCACGCCGACGACGACGATGGTGCCCACGCGTCGGCGATAAATGCTGGAAGGAGTTCGGAGTGCGCGCGCGGCCGACGGGCGCGAGTGGCCCGCATCGCATCCTTTGACGAGGGCCGTGCCCCCCCCCCCCCCTGCACGCGCGCAGGGGCGCTGGACTGATTTCGATGCTCGCGCGCGAGAGGACCGTTTGGTTGAAGTTGATGAGCACGTCGAGAAAATCATGTTTTTTTTCTGAAGGATTCGCAAGAATGCGCGCACAGACTGTTTTGTTGAAAAATCGGGTTGCGAAACCATAGCTTACCGTGTTCGGGGCGCTCGATTCTGAAATCCGAGGGGTACGTCAAGGTTCTGAAGGATTCCAGCACACGCGCGCGACGACGCGCGCGCGTGTACATCGATTGATGTGTTTGCAGGCTCGAAGAAATCCGCGCGGACATCCGAAGGCGTCTGTTTATGTTGTTGTGTTTGTCCACGAGACGACCGCGATGGTTGTCCCGTTGGTTGTTCCAGAGGCCTTGGCGGCATAATACCCCAAACAACTTTTTATAATACTACAGAAAACACTTTGTAGTTGTACAGATCCAAGCATGCACGATTCTGGCACTAGACAATGCTACGCCATGTAAAATAAACAGAAGGTTAAGGTATGCATGCATACATACATACATACATACATACATACATACACACGTACATGATTGCATGCATACATGTGTGCATGCATAGAGGCATACATGCATGCATGCATACATACATACATGCGTATATACCTACCTACATACATACCTCCCGACCTGCCTAGACTCTACATACGTATGTGCGTACATGCATAAACACATACATACATACAGACATACATGCATACAGGCATCCATACAGACATGCATGCGTGCGTGCGTGCATGCACATATAGATGCATACATACATGTGTATATATATATACATACACACGCAAACATGTGTACATGCACACATACATACACACATACATATGTACATACAAACATGCATGCGTGCATACAGACAGACAGACACGCCTACATACATGCATACATGCATGCATACATACACACAACTACAAATATGTATACATGCATGCGGTAATACATGCGTGCCTGCAACATTGCATACAAAAAACATACATGCGTGCACACATGTATACACACACATGCATGCAAACATACATGCAAACACGCATACATGCATACATGCATACGTGCACACATGCAGTTACGCATTCTGTGTTTACATACACACATGCATACATACATACATACATACATACATACACACACATACATACATACAAACATGCATACCTACGTACATACACACATACGTACATACATGTTTGCACACATAGATACACACATGCATGTGTGCATGCATACATTCATACATGCATACATACATTAATACCTACATACAACGTTAGATACATATATACGTAATACGAACACACATGTATGCATGCATGCATGCATGCATGCATACATACATACACACATGCATGCATGCATGCATGCATGCATGCATGCATGCATACATACATACATGCACACATGTACACATACATACATGCATATATACATACGTACGCACCTACGTACACACATAGACATACATACATACATATACATTCGTTCATACATACATAGAAACATACATATATACATCCATACACAAATGCATACATACATGCATACATACATACATGTGTGTGAATATGCGCGTGCGTGTCTATACAAACATAGGTATACGCCACTGCTCGAGGGGTCCTCGGGATCCAGAGGCACGACTCCGAGGCGGTGGCTGTGGGTAAACTTTGGCGGTGGACTTCCCCATCTCTGCGCCACTTAGAGATCGACCTCGTCCTCGTCCTCGGCGTCGTCGTCGGCAGGGTTTGATGCTCTGCTGCCTGCTTGGGCCTCCCGGGGAAGGGACGGGGCGCGTCGAAGCGGCCGGGCTCGCCGCGAGATCCTGCTCGCAGCTCGCACGGAGGAGGACGGCGAGGCTCAGGCCGAGGAAAAAGGGTAGAGGGGGGTTATCAGCAGCGCGCCCCAGAGGGGGCAGGGGGGACGAGCCTTCTCGGAAGGCTCCGAAGGCCTCCAGCCTTTTGAGGAGCTTTCCAAGCCTCCTCCGAGGCCACGGAGGGCTCCTCGGCAGGCGAAAGGACACCTCAGAAACACCGCCGCCTCCTGCGAAGGCCTGCCCCCTCTCGCTTCCCCCTGCGGCGCGCCGCCGGAGGAAGGTAGGGGGAGGGGAGCAGCAACGTGGAATCGGCGATGCATCGCCGACACAGTAGAGGCCAATCCACAGGAAACCTTCCACGGGAAACCCAGCCCTGAGACCCCAGGACGTCCACTGAATTTTGGTGTGGGGACGTCACGCTCTCCACAGCGAAACCACCGAAACCTAGGAAACCCGGGGCACCCTGGAGGCAAGCAGGGTGTTCTTTTAGCATGGGCCTCCACTGCAGAGCGGCGGTGGGCCCCCGAGAGCGGAACAGCACGATCCTGGGCGGGGAGAGGGAGCCGGGGCCCCCCGATCGGCGAGGAATGAACGATCCTTATGCTGTCTGCCATCCAATTGCTCCTCCTCCTCGTCCTCCTATTCCTCCTCCTCCCCATCACCCTCCTCCTCTGCCCTTTCCTCTTCGTCCTCCTCGTCCTCTCCGGTATCCTTGTTGATTCTTCCTCGTCGAGCCGAGGAATTCGACAGTGGGCAGAATTGGCCACGGAGGAGTCGCCGCCACCCCGCCTGCACCGTCGCGCGGCGTGCCGTGCCCGAAGAGCCCCCTGGCGCGGCAGGCACGGACGCCGGCCGTTAAAGACTTGGCTTCGCGGCGCGCCGAGGCGCTGCTGGTGCGCTCGCGTTACGGGTCGAGGGGCCTCTGCCTGCACGGTTCCCCCCGTGGCCGTGAGCGACCCGAGGAAAAGAAGGAGGAGGAGGAGGAGGAGGAGGAGGAGGGGGGGAGGAGGTGGAGGAGGAGGGGGAGGAGGAGGAGGGGGAGGAGGACGGGTCGCATAGGCCCTTCGGAGAAACCCTCCAGTCGAGGGCCCTCTTGTTTTGGTGGACCCAAAATGGGGACCAGCTCAAAGGGGGGTGGTGCAATGGGTTTGGGGAAATTTTGCTGCAAATGTGTTGCGCCAGAGATTTGTATTGCATTGCACTGCAACTCGTGTACCGCACGCGAAAACCCAGCAATACGTTTGCGCAGCAGAATGTACTGCACGCCCCGAATCGATTGCAAACCCGCAAATCTATTACACCAAATCTACTGCACCACCGTCTTTTCGCTGGACCCCGTCCTCGGTCAACCAGACCCGTCCACCCGTGGGCCCCCCATCGCTCAGCAGCAGTACATGTAGCATCCGGCGGCCCCCTGCTGCCAGGGGCTGCACGGCAGCTGCGCCTTGCAGCTGCAAGACTGCATCCTGTTGCACGGGCCGGTGACGCGATCTCCGCTCTCGCCGAAGCTGCCACAGATGTTGGCACAGACGTTGGAAGTGCCGATCTGCGCGTTCGCCGGGGGGGCGCACACGAGGCCGTTCATGCAGCTGCCGTAGTAGTCCGCCGCCGTGCCTGCATGACGTGGGCGTGTTGGAATGTACGGCGCTGCTCTGTCGGGCCTTTCTATTCTAATGTTAAGTCGGGCGTGTCCCCCTACAGGGGGATTTTGGGCGAAAGATAGAAAAGACTTAAAAAATACCCCTCCTATGGGCAAAAATAGTCAAAAAATCGTCCCCATACTATTTTTTGATCATTTTTGCATACTCTCCCTGTAGAGGAACAGGCCCGACGTAATTCTAATGAGGACACCCCCACTCTACCACCTGACAACTGCATGCAGCCCCACCCCCGCTCCCGAGATCACGATCCCTTGCAGAAAGCATGGATCCGCGCTCCCGAGGCAGCGATCCCTTGCAGAAAACATTCATCCGCGCTCCTGGGCACACAATCCCTCGTGAAAAATATGCAGGAGAGCCCAGAATCGAATCGAGAAGTCGGATCGGCGATCGAAACAAATCGGATCGGCGGAAATCGGCAGCCAAGTCGGGAAGAGTCGAATCGGCAGAAATTGGCAGGCCAGCATGCCTCCAATAAGAAGTCGGAACCCGAACCGGAAGCACAAGTCGAATCGGATCGGAATCGGAAGCAATGGAAATCGAATCGAATCGAACCAGATAAATCGAAACGAGCCCTGAAGATGTGCCCGCCCGCGGCCGAGCGTCCAGGCGGCCCACGCCGGTGACCAAGGAAACCAAAATGGCCCAAAATGCCTCGGAGGCGGGCCACGATGGCCCCAAGGCGGCTGGGCATTGCCTCAAGACGACCGAAAAAGCTTCCAAGAGGGCCCCCCCAAAAAAGCCCCAAGAGGACCGTCAACAGGGCATGGAGAAGCCAGAATCTCCGATTCCCCGTGGGTTGTTGCACGACTTTGGCACTTGCGCCTTCTCCGGCTTCTGTGCACTGAAGACGGCCCAGGAAGCATCCACGATGGACCTAACACGGTCCAAGACGCCCCACGAGGGTCGCAAGATGGCCCAAGAGGACCCCACAAGGGCCAAACATGCATCCAAAAGGACACCAAGGTGGCCCAAGAAGGCCTCCCGTGGGGCCCAAGACGACCTTCAAGGCCCTGCAACTGCCCGAGACGGCGCCGAAACGGCCCCACGACGGCCCAAGAGGGCCCAAGGGACCCCCCATGACTGCCTCACAGGAGGCCACGACCGCCTGAAGAAGGCACAAACGAGTTATATGAGAGCTCCTTGTGTGAAGAAGTACCCAAACGAGTGCAGACGAAAAGGGTCACACGTGACGGCCTTCCCCTTCCTCCTCATCCTCCTCCTCCTCCTCATGCTCCCCCACCTCCTCCTTTTCCTCCTCTTCCTCCTCCTGCTCCTTCTCCTCCTTCTCCTCCTCCTCCTCGTCATCACCATCATCACCATCATCACCACTACCACCACCACCACCACCACCATCACCATCATCATCATCATCAGCAGCAGCATCATCAGCAGCAGCAGCATCAGCATCAGCATCAGCATCAGCATCAGCATCAGCATCAGCATCATCATCATCATCATCATCATCATCATCATCATCATCATCGTCATCATTATCATCAACATCATCAACAGCAGCATCATCGTCATCAGCATCATCATCATCAACAAAAACCCAATCATCATCAGCAGCGGCAGCAGCAGCATCACCATCACCATCATCATAATCATCAGACTCATCAAAAAGCATCGGATCCGGTGTCGTCACCACAACCGCCACCACAATCCATCATCATCAGCATCAGCATCGTCATCATCATCAGCAGCATCATCATCGTCAACATCATCATCGTCATCGATATCGTCATCATCATCAATATCAGCATCATCATCAGCATCGTCATCGTCATGATCATCATCATCATCATCAGCAGCAGCATCACCATCGTCGTCGGCATCATCATCGTCATCAGAATCGGAAGCATCATCATCAGCAGCATCAGCATCGTCATCAGCATTATCATCATGATGATCAGAATCATCGTTATCAGCATCGTCATGGCCATCATCATCGTCATCATCCTCACCATCATCACCATCATCGTTATCATCAGCATCTCCATCTCCATCACCATCACCATCACCATGACCATCCTCATCATCATCACCGTCATTATCAGCATCATCCGCATCGTCATCATTGGCAGCTGCAGTATCATCATTTAATGCATCCTCAGCATCACATTATCGTCATCATAGACAACATGAGCGTCATCATCATATCATCCTCGTCGTAACCACCACCACCACCACCTGCATGACCATCGCCATCATCACCATTTAACCGATACTGATAGCAATGAACAAATAAACTGAATCACAATCAGCGACGGCATCATAACCATACTAACTACGGAAATAGCCGTTATCATCATCATCGCCGTCGTCATTATCATCATCATCAGAAACAACAGCAGCATCATCATCACAATCACCATCACCACCACCACCACCACCACCATCATCATCATCATCATCATCATCATCATCATCATCATCATCATAGTCATCGTCATCGTCTATGTCATCGTCATCATCAACAGCATCGGCATCATCATCGTCATTACCGTCGCAACCACCAACACCAAAACCAATACCAATACCACCACCACCAACACCATCATCATCATCATCGTCATCAGCATCATCATCATCGTCATCATCATCACCACATCACCACCACCACCACTACCATATTCATCATCGTCACCATCACCATCACGGCCATCCCAAGCCTGGAGACACTAAGTGTCAGACTGAACGGCCCCCCGTTTCCCCCTCGAACAGTCGCCACCCAGAATGGTGGGTTGGCACGGTGGCGGGACTCGCCGCAGGCAGCTGGATAGCCAGTGCTCCCAGATTGGCCGCACTTCTCCCCGACCTGATTGCCTGAAGGCCTCGGCGTGGGCGCTGGCGTGGGCGGAGTGGGCGCGGGCGTGGGCCTGGGCTGACCAGGGCACGGGCCGCAAGTCGCGTCGCCGCAGAACTTGCACTGCTCAAGGCCCGCCCCGTTGCCCGCCGCCTTGCAGCACACGCCAGCTCCACTGGTGCTGCAGCCCTGAGTGTCCTTGTAGCAGCTCATCGCCGCGCCGCAGTAGGTACCTGCGAAGCTCTCGTAGCACGTGAGCGTGGTCGTCTCGGTGGTGTTCGCGTGGCTGTGCTGGGTCACCCTGGCCTTCTCTGCGGCCGAGCGCTGCAGCAACGCGGACACCTCGGCATCGTCAGCCTGGCACGCTCCGTCGGCACAACCCTCGTCGGCCAGCGCACGCGCGGACAGCAGAAGCAGGAGAGCCACAGCGAAGCGCGCCATGGGTCCGCGCCTTCGTATCTGAAGCCCTTCGGCAGCCGCCTTGAGCCAAAATCGCTGCGGAGGCGAGGAGTGAGCGGTTGGGGATAGGGGGGCGATGCTCCCCCGCCTGAGCCTATCCCCGCCTACAGTCAGTCGACTACCAGAAACAGCTCTGCACAAGGAACGAAGCCCCATATTGGCCCCAGCAGCACGTGGGTGCACGAGAAGCGCTACAGGAACAAGCATGGAAGGACCTTCCGAGCCTGAACTGCTCCCTATTTGAGTGTCGTGGCTGGATCGTTGCCCCTCGTGGCCCAAGTGAGGGGGACCAGGCCCCCAGACCTTCAACAAAAAACTCAGAAGGAAGGGCCAGCCTCAGGGGAAGGCGTCGAGACACCTGTGGGGGCCCACCCTGGGGGGCGGTGGATGTGGATGGCTTCCCGCCCTCGGGGGCGCGCGGATATATCCATACATCCGCCACTGCTCGAGGGGTCCTCGGGATCCCGAGGCACGACTCCTCGGCGGTGGCTGTACGTAAACTCTGGCGGTGGACTTCCTCCCCATTCCTGCGTCGCTTGAAGATGTCGACCTCGTCCTCGTTCTCGGCGTCGTCGTCGGCAGGATTTTGATGCTCTGCTGCCTGATTGGGCCCCCCAGGGAGGGGGCGGGGCGCGTCGAAGCGGCTGGGCTCGCCGCGAGATCCTGGGCCCCGAGTCGCCGAACGATCGCTCCGAGACGCTCACGATGGCCCCCAGACGGCCCAAGAGGCCTCCAAAACGCGCCAAGAGGCTTCCAAGAGGCCTCCCGACAGGGCCCCAAGAGGCCAAAATCATTGATTCGCCGTTGGCTTTTCAAAGCGTTTAGCTTTCTCCCCTTTTCGGCATCCCGACGCTCCCAGACGGCCCACAAGGCCCCCAAATCGCCCCGAGACGGTCCAAGGGGCCTTCGATAGGGCCCCGAAAAGGCACAAGAGGGCCCCAAGACGCAAAAGGCGCAAAAGGCACACGGCACCAAAGGCGCCCAAGACGGCCCAAGAGGGCCCCCCAACGGCCCCAAAGGAGCCCAAGAGGGGGAACACGAACCGAAAATCCGAGCCTTCCGCTCCAAGAAGCCCCAGGAGGCCCCCAGGGGCGCCCAAGAGGCCCGAACAAGCCCCAAGAAACCCCCGGAGACCCAAAACAACCCCCGAAACTGCTCCAAAACGGCACCCAAGAGGCTTCAAAACTGCTTCAAAGAGGCCCCCGAGGGGCCTCAAACGAGATCCCAAGGAGCATCCAACCCAGGGCACGTTGGCAGGATGGGCCGAAGGCACTGTATGTGTATGTGTATATAGATACACATGGATATACATATATATATATATACACACACACATATGTGTATATACACGCACATCTACTTATACATACACATATACATATACATATACATATGTACATATATATATACACGTATATACGCACATATATATGGTGGGGGGCGGCTTCCAAGACCCCCCTTTGAGTTTTGTTATTATTGCTAGTATGATTTTATTATTGATTTTATTATTATTACTAAAAAATCAATAATATTATTATTATTAGCGTTCATCGCCTTATTCTTCTTATTAAATTTGTGGCGGCTTGCAAAAATATCTCTCTGGTGTTCCCTCACAAAAAGAATCCTATCGAAATCCTCCGCAAAAGGAATCCGCTTCTCATCCTCCACAAAAGGAATCCTATTGCAATCCTCCATAAAAGGACTCCTTTCAAGAAAATCAAAAAAAGGAGTCATACTGTAATCCCCCATAAAAGAAATTGCATCGAAATCTTCCACAAAAGGAGTTTTATTGCAATCATCTACAATCGGAATCCAATTATTCTCTGCACATGTAATCTCACTGTAACCCTGGAATTCCCAATCCCAAAATACCCCGGCAAAAAAAAATGTTTGGTGTTTGTTTGTTTGTGTGTTTCCTCCTCGCCTTGGTTTTGGCTGTCCAAGCACAGTTAAGCTTTATTTCCAGGAGTTCTACAAATGCGTTTTGTTTGTTATCCACCTTGGCTGTTGCTGTCCAGTCACAGGGAAGCCCAACGTCGGCCAGTATACTCTCATGGAGACGGATCGTGAAAACATGTGTATCGATCTTCATCGACCTTGAGCTTCCCTGTGCCTGGACCGCCCAAGCCCAGGCGGAGAACAACAAAACAATGTTTCCCTGTGACTGGGCAGCCGAAACCAAATCGAGGAGCAAAAAAAAACAATCCAACAACCAAAAGAAAAAAGAAAACACATGCCCCGAAATACTTGGGAATTTGGAATCTCAGGGTTGCAATGGGGTTCGATGCGTAGAGAATTACAATAGGATTCTTTTGTGGAGGACTACAATCGGATTCCTACTGCAGAGGATTACAATGGAATTCCTTTTCGTGGAAGTTTTCGATGGAACTCCTCGCGTGGAGGATTACAATATGATCCATTTTGCGGGGATGGTAATCGGACCCCTTTAAAATGGAGGAATGCAAAAGGATTCACGGTTGTAGAGGATGGCAATCGGATTCCCTTTTGTGGAGGATTTCGATCGGATTCCTTGTTGTGGGGGAACACCCGAGAAATAACGTTGCAAGCCGCCACACATCGAATAAAAAACACAAAGGGGGTCTTGGAAAAAAAACAACGACACAAAAAAAAACAAACAACAATCTGAGGTAGCTGGAAAGTTGGAATTTCCGGATTACAATAGGGTTCCATTCTTAGAGGATAATAATAGGACTCCTGTTGTGGAGGGTTACAATAGGATGCCTTGTGTAGAGGAATACAATAGAATTTCTTGTGGGGGAATACAAATGGGTTCCTTTCCTGGAGCATTGCAAGAGGACTGCTTATGTGGAAAGTTTCAATCGAATTCTTTTTTGTGGAGAATTGCAATAGGATCCCGTCTGTGGCGGATTTCAATAAGATTTCTTTTGTGGGGGATTTCCAATGGGATTCCTTTTGTGGGGGGTTCTACCGGGAATTCTTTGGGGGGGCAAAAACACCGCGGCCGAGCAGCCTTGAGACGTGTGTCTGGTGAGCATACAAAGGAGGTGCCTATGCGCTCCCCCCCCCTCCTCTCTCCGCAAATTTCGGCGTCTCGCGAATGCGAAAAATCAGCGACGGCGGACGCACCCCTTGAAGGGTTTTCTTTCACTAATGTCGTCCCAAAACATAAGTTCTCACAATTTGTCGTTGAAACGTATCGGGTGAACGCACATCACCCTCGATTTCATTGTGTCTCGAGGAACTTGGGCAACGGCGGACGCATCCGTTGGGGGTTTTCCTATTGTTACTGTCGGCAAATTGGGCAGGTTATGTGCATTGTTCGTTGATTTTGCATGCGGGATGCCTACAATTAGAAACGTATGTGGTGAAACATATCGCCCTCGCCTTCGTTGTCTCTTAAGGAACTTGGGCCACGGCGGGCGCACCCCTTGAGGGTTCTTCTTTTGTTAACGTCGTCAAACCACAAAAACAAACATCTGTGCATTTTTCGTTGGTTTTGGATGCGGGACGCCTGCCATTAGAATCGTACCGGGTGAAACACATCGACCTCGATTTCATGGTCCCTGAAGGAACCTAAACCACGGTGGACGCACCCCTCAAGGGTGTCTTATATTGCCGCCGTCACAAAGTAAGCTTTATACGCATTATTAAGTGGTTTTGGGCGCGGGGGCGCTTGCCATTAGAAACGTAACGGGTGCAAAACAACACTATGAGATATCATGCTTGAAGGATCCTCAGCCTCGGCGGACGCACGCCGTTACAGTTTTTCGTCGGTGCTAACCAAAGGACGCAATCATGCGCATTGTTCGTTGAATTTGGGCGGGTGGCGTCTGCCGTTCGGGACCCGAACATCGAAATTTGACAGCGCCAAATGTTTTTGTTGTTGCCATGGGTATTCATTTACGTCTTCAACACCAATTCAATTACATAGATGTTGTTTGTCCTTCTCTCGTGTGGGAATTCTGCCGCGGCCCACGTGCAAATACAGATTTTGTGGCGCGCGCATCAATATGCGGCGACGCTTTCGATATTCATTTGCGGTGGTTACACGCGGGGCCCTCGAAATTTCAGGGGGCATCCGTTTTTTTTGGATGACATTCCCTCGCCCGTCCTTCGCGAAATTCGCGTTTCCGCTGAATTCGTGTTGTTGACCATCGATTTGGGCGCGCGTTTCGACGGGCCAAAAGGGGCATCCAATGTTGGATGCCCCCGTGGTCGCCTTCGTCGTTTTCTGCGCGCGCGCTTGCAACAAGCGCCGTGTCGCGCGTGGGCAACGCTTGCAAGTACATATCTGTTCTGTTGACCACGCGCATGTCCAGTAATGGGGCAGCGTGAGCGTTTGTGTGTGCGCGTTTCTTGTCCGAGCGCGTCTTGTGCCTCTCGCGCGTTCGCTCTGGTGTACAGTAGCCAGACGCCTTGCCTTGCACATCGCGTGTTTGTGTTAAGTTCATTTCTTTGTTCACCACGAGGGTTTCATGTTTCAGAGTGCGTTTTCAATTATGTACACGTTTCCTCCGCGCGGACATCAATTTTAGAGCGCTAATTCGTCGCGGCCTTCGCATCCGTTACGATTTCTTCATCCTCCGTCGTGCTCGTCGTCCTCCTGTCTCCCTCCCCCCCCCCCCTGTCTTCTCCATCCTCCGAAGACGGGCGAGGGGAGAATCAATCATGAGAGAAGAAGCGAGGGAGCGGAAGACCCAGCTAGAAAGGGAGAATGGGAGAGCGATGGATTAGGAGGAGGAGAGGAGGGGGAGGTGAGGAGAAGTGTTTGGAGGCGATACCACCCCAGGAGGAACGAGAGCTTGCGACGATCGTTTAGGTTATCTGGTGGCCTTTGGGCCCAACCCGCCACCGTCCCTGCTGAGTTGAACTCTAAGCCTTGGGTTCTCTCTTCGTTACCGCTCTGTTGTTTCTGCCAGGCCCCGTGACTGTCGCGGACCCCAGCTGCTGCATAACATACAAGCGATCAAGGCGCCGACGTCCTCATCCCACAAACGTCATGCACTCAATTCGTCGTCGACACCGCATGTCGTCATATTCGAGATCTCAACTTCAA